ACCTCCTCTGGGCCACCTCCACCTCGCCAATATCCCTTCTGAACTATGGCCCCAGAACTCAGAGCAGCAATCCCCACGGGGTCCAGCCAGAGCAGTGTGCGCAGGGAGGACCCTTAGCTCCCTTGTGCTAGGAACGTAGCCTGTGATGAGTTAGCTTTGGGGCTGCCAGATCAGATGACTCAGGTTACGCTTCATGTCCACCCAGCCCTCTTGGTCATCTTTAAATAAACTGGTTAAGAAATAGGACTTGGATACGAAGCTTACATCACCGCACTTCTCAGAAAACAAGCGTAACCAGGCGTCTCCAATCTTGTCTTTGTCGGCCAGACTTTATCTAATTCCTCCATGACAAAACCCACTGCTGAGCATTAGTCTGCTGGTACAGGCTCTCAAGAGCTTTGAGGATCTTGAATCTGCCATGCCCCCTACTATCTGTCTAGAGGGGGCTCTGAGAAGCTGTCTTTACATCACTGCAACTCAACACTTTATCCATCAACTTGAAAGAAGGTCAAGACAAAACCTTCTCCAAAATGGTGGTGAGACAGAGGTAGAGGGTGTAGCTACCTAGAATGAAGAGCTACCTAGAACGTCCTCCACTCAATACAACTTAGTGAGCATTTATTGAGCACCTACAGTGTGCCAGGCATTGTGTCAAGTACAGGGATACAGAAACAAAACCAAACAACCCCTGCCCTTGTGGAGTTTACATTCAATCGGAGGAAGAAGCAGGTATACAGAGAAGTAAATACAACATAACACAAAGCATGTGGCAAAGTCACTAGGTTGAGAGAGGAGGAGACAGTAGCAAGTGGAGGGACTGGGGAGGGCTTCATGGCCAAGGGGACACCTGAGCTTAGCTCTAAATGGAGCAAGGGATTCTATGAGGCAGAATAAGGATGGAGGGCATCCCAGATGTGGGGAAACAACCTGTGTGCAAAGGCATGGAAGGCAGGCCTAGGCCAGGGCTGGAATGAGGAACATGGTAGTGGTGGTGGTGGTGGTGAAGTGGATTACCAACACTCTCTCCTTGTTTTCTCACCACCACCCTGGGTGGAGGGTGGAGAAACGCCATGTGCATTCGGCAGAGGGCCCAATGGGAGGGGAGAACAGACTGAGGATATGGGAGGCCCAGGCAGAGTCGGCTCTGCAGCATAGTGACATTTCCCATCGATGAGTGTCCTGGGAAAGCAATCAGACTGCATTTCTGATGCACGACCTCCATGCTCCAGCCAGAGATGGAGGCTCCTGAGAAGGCTGATAAGGAGAAAATGGCCTCCCCTCCTGATAGAGAGGGGATACTGAGACACACAGTATGGGGTTTTTGGGATTCATTTTGCTTAATTAAGTGTGTTTGTAGCTGGGGTTTTACTTTTCCTGGCTTTCTTGATTGGTAAGTGGAAGGGAGAGGTCTATTTGAAAATAAAGTAAAATTAAATTTTTTTGAAGAGAAGATATTGGTGTGGCATCTTTCAGATCAAGTCAAAAGGCCTTTAAAAGGTTGAGGGGGCCCCCACCCCCTGGGTCTTCCCACTCAGGAAGGCACTGTGGACAGAAGCTAGGACGCAGGGAGAGGTGCAGGGTCTTTGGAGAAGTGGTAACAGGCCAGTGAGCAGAGGAAGCTAAAATGTGTCAGAGAAGGTCATACTGGGGCTTCTGACCACTGGGTAGAGCTGGAAGAGGAAGTTGGCCGAGCTGACAGAGAACTGCCCAGAGATAACTGGAGTCAACAAAGAAGAGCCCACTCCAGGCATGTGTCTATCGATTTTCTCTTTGCAGTGGGCTTACTGTCCTGACTGGCTTCACTCCAGGCGATACAATCCATTCAGCGGATATTGATGAGCAGTTGTTTAGAGCAGACTTGAAGGCCTGGGAAGGCCGTCCAGGCTGCCACCTAAGCCCCTCAGAAGGAGGGAACCCTCCCCACCAGCCCATTCTCCACAAGGAGTCATCCAGCCTGCATGGGGGTTGAGCAGGGCTTCAGAGTTCAGGGCTGAGATCCTGGTCAGACTACTACCTTCGCTGGCATATCTGAGGTCCAGTTTCTGTCTGCTGCTGGGACTGGAAGTCCAGGAGGAAAGGCATTTGGAGGCATGTGAATCCTTGGACCCAGAGCCCCGCTGATAGCAGTGGTGCTCAGCAAACAGGGTCACTCTCCTTGGGGCAGGTAGGAAGGCACAAAGAGCCTGAGAACACAATTTCAGCAGCTGCAGAGGGAAGGGAATTGGTCTAGTGACCTGCAGGGCCAGCCATTCACCTTCTAGTGGAAAGTACACTGCCTTTCTAGGGCCTGCGCCCAGGATGTCCTGGGGAGAGTAGGTGTTTTCTTCATTCAAAGAATGAATGGAGAATGAAGTGCCCCTCCGGGGGGGTGGGGCTTATGCTCTACTGGGGGAGACATAGATAGAAGACCCTTCAGGCTGGATGTCAAGGCCAGGGGGCTGGGCAGGAGGGAGTGTGTCAGGGCCCACAGTAAGGCCTAGTGGTCTTCCATCTCCCTGGAAGGCTTGTAGTTGGTGACTCTCACATCACCCAAGTAGTGCCAGCCACCATACACCTCTTCCTGCCTAGCCACCTTTGGGGCTGAGCAGCCTGGGGGCAGGGGGTATCATGGGACAGGGGCAAAGGAGAACCACTGCTGGATCTTCACCCTGGCTGGGCTCTGGGGGGGCCCAGGGCTGTTGTGGGAGGGGTCTGGGGGACCAGGTAGGCTCTAGGAAGCCAATGGCTTCTGGCGCTGCCAACTTAGCCTGCACTAAGAGAGGCCAGATATCCCGGAGGAGAGAGGCATTGGTCCCTCTAGGTTCTGCCCAGCTCAGACTCTATCTGGAGGGCTGGGTTCACTTCTGGGCACCACAGTCTAGGAAGGACAGGGATAAACTGGGAAGTACCTAGAAGAGCCCAGCCAGGAGGGCTCGGGGCCACTGGCACTGTGACCATCTCCTGGGCAGCTGCCCTGTGCAGGAGGGATGAGGCTTGTTTGGTTCAGTGCCAGACAACACACAGCTTAGAGAACGAGGGGGGAAGCAGCAAAGAGGCAGACTGGGCTTGTGAGGTAAAGCTGGGCCCCTGTGAGAGCAGCCCCTGTGAGAGCCGTCCAGAGCTTGTGCTGGTCATGGGCATGAAGAAACGAGCCCATCTCTGGCCCAGCCCTGGCCCTAGAGTCTGAGGTGCCCGTCCAGATTTGGGTGCCTCTCACGCTCTTCACGTTTCCTTCCAACCCAACGGTCTAGGAGGGGCCTGCCTGAGACATTTCCAGGTCCATCACCCACGCTATTCACTCCCATTACGTACTGCGGCCCCCTTTCCCAACTGCCCTAACACACAGTTTCAGGATGGGCCTGAAGGGGAGAGGGGAGCTGGCCACAAGAATGAGCTCAGATGGAGCCGGACCTCTACCACGATGACCACAACTGCCACCATGACCACGACTGCTGCCATGACCACCACTGCCATTACAGCTACCATGACGGCCACTATGACCACCGTTGCTGCCATGACCATCACTGCCACCATGACCGCCACTACCACTATAGCTGCCACCACTGCCGCCATGATCACCAACAGCAGCAGCAGGAGCAGAGTGGATTCTCACATTAACCCAGAGGGCTCCTGCCAGGCCCCAGGCCGCCATCTTCTGTGCCAGCGGGTGATGGGCCGTGGAGGTCTTTGAGCTTCCCTTTCTTCCGCTCCTGCCCAAGGAAGATGCCTCCTCGGTGGCAGATCAGAGACACTCAACAGAGAACGTGATTCTTGCTGGTAAAGTTTACTCCATCTTTTGTCTTTTCATCCCCAGTGCCCAAAGTGACAGGTACTTCACAGAGTACAAATAAGGACTTAATATGATAAGTACTTTACAGGTACTTAACAGAGGCTGGCTGATTGAATGATTGACTGTTAGACAATCCTTTTGACATCAAGAACTCAAGAAAGGCCCTTGCCATATTGGGCAGTTGCCTTGTGGGGGGCTTTGGAGAGGACACGTACAAAGAGTCAGCCACGAATGGGTCGCGATCTGCGTCAGTAGAGGGAATGTCCCCACGGATGAGATCATGGAGCCAGGGGAGTATTTGAGAGGGTACTGGGAAAGAGGAATCTGCATGAAGGGAGAGGTCCCAAAGTGGATGACCTGGATGGTGAGAGATCTTGAACCCAGGTCCCTGAGAACTAATAGAAGGCGCCAGAGCCCTTTAATCCAGAGAGAAGCTATCAAAATGGAGCTAGGCCGGGGGTGGGGGGGCAGGGGGGGGGATGGCTGTGTTCAAACAATCCATGGCTGTGTGGAACAGAGATTAACTCACTCGGTGCATCCCCAGGGACTCCCCTTGGAACTGAGGGATACGTTACAGAGAACCGCATTTCAGGGAGTGGAAAAGGAGTACTTTGCTGCCCTCAGAGCAGGCAGAGAAAGTCACGGACCATCTCATGCAATGGGGAATGCTCTGTTACTGTAGAGTGCAAGCAGTCGCTCGGGACCATCAAGGGGCCTGGATTCAGACCCGGAAGGGGCCTCAGAGGTCATCTACCCCAACGCCTCCATCTTACTGATGGGGAAACTGAGGCCAAGCGTGGGATCAACCAAGGAGCGAGTACAGAGGAGGTGGCTAGCCCAGGTGGCTTCTTCCACACCTCCAACTTTCAATTTACATTACGTACTAATATTGTTGGAAGTGGAGGATTTTGAGGAGAGCTGAGGGAATCCTGATTTGTTATTATAAACTACTCTTGGTGAATCTGCGAATGGTCCAGGAGGCATCCCTGTGGTGCCCGGCTCAGCTCTGAGGATTGTGCCTCTGCCCTAACTTTTGGTAAGAATCGGCCTGACCGCAAGTCACTGGCGTAAAGCCCACGTCGCTGCCTGAACGCAGCTTGAAAATGGTTGTTTTCCAAAGGCTCAGTGCCAAAAGCAAGTCTGCTTCACAGCGGCCGGCTCTGACAAACATCCGCGAGGCTCCATTCCCTGCCCATCCCAGCACCGCCCCTCCCCCACTCCACAGCCATACCTTCTCTGTGATATAGAAGTTGGAACTGTCCGCGTGCTGCAACGCAAAGGACTCGTGGTTGGCCAGCGTCCACCTGTGAAAGAGCACAGGGGAGGCATCAGTTAGTGAGCCCGCAGGGTGCCACGGGGTCGTGGGGATATTCTGGGGATGGGACCCTGACCACGTCACTCTCAGTGACCTGGGCAGCTCTCCAGACTCTCGGCGGCAGACTGGGGGTGTCTCCAAACTGGACGTTCCATACACCCCAGAATTCTAGGTTTCCAGAGGTCCGGATTCTTTTCTTAAAAACGCCCTTGCCAGGCATCAGTTGTAAGGCGACGTTTTTCAGCAGACTATTAGATACGCCCAAGAAAAACAGGAAAACGAGAACAGGCCCAGTTCTGGGGGTTCTCAGCCGGGCATGGGGGTTCCAAGGGCAGACAGGAGACCAAGGCCAGAGCAGGCCCCAGCATCCCTCACAACGCCCTGCTCTGGAACTACAAACAGCATCCCCGGGGAAGGAAAGGGGCGAGGAATTATCTGCCCCTCAATTTATGGGCCAGGGTGTGATGCTGGGGTGCCGGGGGGCCACTTACCCGTCACAAACTTCCTTTATTACTGCAGACAGTGGCTTCTTCTGCAAGGTAACATAAGAAAAAAGAAAGCATTTGGTTAGACAAAGTAATGCGTCATTTTGAATGCAGAACTTAGGAAGGCTAATAAAATGCTATCCAATTAAACAAATAAGGTTTTTTATTTTTATTAGCTCTTATTTAACAATGGTTCCACTTTCCAAGTTCACAAGCAGCACCCCTTCCCCTCCCCAGATGGCAGCAAACCACCAGCCCAACAAATCCAGTGTTGGCCATTCGCGGCCCTTTGTCACAAAGGCTCATCATCCGTGGCTAGCGGCATAGACTGAGTCTGAAGAACCTGAGCGTGAATCCTGCCCCAGGCACTTCTGGCTGTGTGAACGTGAGCAAGACACCTAACCTCTCTCAGCCTCAGGTCCCTCATATGTAAAATGGGGACAATGGCTCCGTATCTCCCAGAGTTGTTGCAAAGATTAGTAACATATGGGAAGTGATTTGCAAAGCTTCCAGCGCCACAGACAAGGTGGCAGTGATGATGGGGGGCGGGGAATAAGGGCCAGTGACTATGGTATGATGGAAAGAATTCTGCGTCTGGAGTCAGCGGGCTGGGTTTAAATCCCTGCCCTACCATCTGCTACCATCTGGGTGACCTGGGCTAGGTCCCCCACGCTCTCTGGGCCTGAAAGGGGAGGCCTAGATGGGTCTGAGGTCCCTGCCCGCTCTACGTCCAGGCTCTGGGGACCGTCCAAACACATGCGCACTGTCCATGGCTGGCAGCACCAACATAGGACAGACGTGTGGGTTCCCGAGCAGCCTGGCTGAGCCACACAGGACATACAAGCCACGGAGTAAACAGTCCGTTCTTAGCTGAGAACAAGCTCACCATCAAGGAGTTTTGAATTAGAACATGTGTCCAATTAAATGTGTCCTTCCACGATTTTGGTTGGACGGAGTGGTTGGACCCTGTCCACTAAGCTCCCCAAATAAACACAGGCCGTCAGTTACTGCGCCATAAATCTGGAGCTGGGAAGGACCTAAGAGGTCACCAGACAGATTCCTTCACTTCACAGGTGAAGAAACTGAGATCTGGGGAAACTTCAGTGGTTCTTCCAAAATCACCCAGTCAGCAAGCTTCAGAGGCAGGATCTGAACCCAGGCCCTCTCATCCAGAGCCAACGCCTCCTTGAGTCCCAGCAAGCCTCCACGCTTCCCTTTCGTGGAACAATGCCGGACACACACTTGGGGCCACCTGAGGGCAGGGGTGCTGTGCTGCCCGACATCAGATGTCAAGCTGTATCCCTCCATCCCCCCCTCCCCAAAAGAAAGAATAACAGTAAGCACTGCTCTCAGGCTTCCAAAGCATTTCCTTCACAACCACCCTAAGTGGAAGGGAACATGAATGTTATTACTCTCATCTTCCGGATGAGGAAGCTGAGGGTCCGAGAAGATGATGCCTGAGCAAGTCACACAGCTAATGAGTGTCAGCTGAGGCCAGGACTTGGGCCCAGGACACCTCACACCCTGCCCTGGCTCTCCAATGGATGGCTCTCCTGCTTTCAGATCTGTCTCTGGACTTACAAGGCTCCGTCACCACCCCCAGAATAACGGGCCCTTTGACCTTGCTCCAAGGTTCAAACACACAGCCTTTGCCTCACCCAACAGGACCACTAGCCCCCATCCAGCAGCTCCCTCCAGGGACATTTTGTGTGGGTGGTAACCAACCTTCGGGGACGCTACCTTTTCAGGACAAACAAAAAGTTAATGAACAAACAGGACATTCTGGATAAAGCCTTCCCAAACAAATCCTTTGCAGATGTGCACAGCTGTGAGGACGCGTCAGACATCAGCCAGCATGGTGCCATCATTCCCTGCGCAGAATCGCCAGGCGCTCAGCATTCAGCCTGGATGCCTGGGCCTGTCAAGGCTCTCAGCCTTGGAAGCCCCTCTCCCTGCCCTCCAGAGGGGCTCGCTCTTTCCCAGGTCCTGCCACGGAAGTAGGCAGGACCAAAGAAAAGATGGAGCTGGGTAAGGAACCCTTGCCTGGGCGAGAATACAGGAACGCTCAACAGCGTCCCCGCCTCTCCACATTTCTTTTAAAGCTTCAGCTCTCAAGGGCTAATGGTGCTTATTGTGAGTGCAGGAAACTCCCTTTTTGTTGCTGACTTTCAGACAGAGAGATAGGGAGACAGATTGATTAAAAGGTTCAAACATGGCAGACACATCCAGAAAGATCCGCGGACTCTCCTCAGGGATCCCACACACAGATTCCCACAGGCCATCATAGACATTAGAGGCCCTTCTGCTCCAACCTCTCAGCTCCCCTGAGGCATGGTCACCGTCCCTACTCAGAGACTTACAGTCATGGGGAGCTTCCTCCCTCCCTCCCAAGGCAGCTCTCTCCACCTTGGGATGACTCCAGCTCCTAAGACAGTTTTCCTTACCTAGAAAGCCGACATCTGCTTTCCAGCACTGCTACTCATTGTTCATGGTTCTGCCCGTTGGGGAGAAGCAGAACAAGTCTCAGCCCTCTGTACCCCAAAACAATCACCACGTCTCTCGAGCTTCTCTTCTCCGGACCACACATCCCTTCTTCTTCTAACCGATCCTTGTGTGATGTGCTTGGTTGGTACCTAGTCTCCCTCCTATGGCACATCCCAGCGTGCCGATGCTTCTTCTAGAGTGTGATGCCCAGGAGGGAGGCCAGGGCTCTGGCTGGGCACTGTCCCAGGGCCCTTGAGTCCATTACAGAATTGGTCACAAATCCATGCATCTAAGAGTCTTTCCAGGGAGGAGGTCCCAACTATCCATCAACTCCTGGTGGGGTGGAGGAGTAGGGAGGTGGGTTCTTAACCCCCGTTCTCTTTTCAGAACAAAATCCCGGCAGCCACAGGTCAGTATAGGAAGCCTGAGTGCTCCCACAGTCAAGCGCTTGCTGACGTCCTGACTCCGCCATCCCCAGGAGGCTCTTTCAATTACCCCAGAGCCCCAGGAAAGCTGCGCCGTGAGCCAGGCGTTCTTCCCAAGCCTACGTCGTCGGGAAGTTAACACGTGGCCCCACGAACCTCCAGGGAGCTGAGAAGCCGTGGGCCCGGAGATCCTCAAGAAGAGGAGCGTCGTCCTAGAGTCAGGGAGACAGACTCAGGGGAGTTCTCATCGCTAATCCATTGAGAAGCATTTGGTAAATGCCGACTGTGCGCTAAGCATGGGGGATTCACAAACAAACAAAAGGGTTCCCGCCCTCGAGGAGCTCCAGACCAGCCAGGGGACACAGTACTCACCTATTGTGGCACGTACAAAAGACACCCATGGTGAATTTGGAAACCAAGGGCACAGGAGGGACATTGAAGGTCATGCCCAAGTGAATGTGTTCCAAGCATACTTTTTAACTAGAAACAAAGACCCTGAGAAAGAAAAGGAATGTTTTTCAGTCTTATTTCAAGTCCCTTTTGATAGCATGTTTCTTTTAAAAATGGCTTATGAAGTGTTTTTCAAGGGTGAGTAACATCGATCACAGAATGTAAGGAATCGAAAGGATTTTAGAAATCGTGGAGGACTTTGGCCCCCAATTTCACACGCAAAGTGAGGCCCCGAGAGGGAAGGGACAAGCCTAAAGTTGCCCAAATGTCACTTCTTCCAAGAAGCCTTCCAGGCTAGAGACGACCTCTTCTGCCTCTCCGATCTTGGTGCTTTCGATTCCTCTAAGCCACTTCGTGGGTCCTCATTTTGATTATAGTTATCCATGTGCATGGCTGGGTTCAAGTCTGGCCTCCAGCACTTACTAGCTGTGTGACCGTGGGCGGGAGACATCCCTCTGGGTGATGCTTATCTTTTGTTCGCTGTAGGCAGTGGGGTCCACACACCAGTGCCACACGCTGACGCCGGTAGATGTTTGTACTGAAGTCACGGGCCCTTGTTTGACAACTTAGGGACAACAAAGGAATTTCCCCAAAGTAAGCTGACGTGTTCTCCTCCTGCTGCCCAATTTGAAGCTCAGCCCGTGGTTCCCCCATCCTGCTTTTCCTCCATAGACATCCGATTGGACGAGTTCATCCAGATGCAGTTGAAACCAGGGCAGTGAACATTCTTCTTCCACTTGGTCTTTCCTGGGTGGAAGGGCAGGCCAGCCTCATCCCATCCAGGAGGCTCTGCAGGGCCCTGGGGTTGGAAGCTGTCCGCTCAGTGTGACCCTGGAGGGCCTCCTCAACCCCAGAGAATCCCTCCTTGACCTGGACTCTGCCCTGGAGCTCCTCATCACAGTGGTAAGCACCTTGGGCAGGGATACATCTCCCTGTGTTAACCCTCGCCAGGTATTTATCATCAGAGAATCAATAAGCAGGTTATTACTAATGTGAGACCTTCTAAGACTCATGAATGAATGTTTTTCATGTACAGATGGGAGGCATTTTAAAAAAATTCTCTGTCTCTCTCTGTCTCTCTCTGTCTCTGTCTCTTTCTCTCCCAATTAAGCATCTCTATTTATAAACCTCAACACACCCAAAGCAGGGGCCACAATCCTCCCCTTCAAGCCCACACTTCCACAAAACCTGTCCCAGTTCTACTAAGGGCACCTTCATCCTCCCAGCAGCCCAGACTCCAAACCACTGAATCATCCTGGGTTTTTCCCTCTCTCTCACACCCTATATCCACAAAAAGACTGACAGAGTTTTAGGGTCAGAAGTGACTTCAGTATCCCACTGGTCCAACCCAAGCCAGAACAGGAATCCTCACTATATATAACGTGTGAAACCGTCATCCAGCCACTTTGTGAAGGCCTCCAAGAAGGGAGCGAAGGCCCCCACCTCTCAGGCAATCTGCTCCATGCTGTCAGAAAGCTTTGTTTTCTCCCTGACATTGAGCCTAACGTTTTTCTCTTTGTAATATCCTCTCTCCCCACAGCTTCCAGCTCCACCTTCTGAGGCCAAACCGAACAGTGAGAGCTTTTGAATCCTTGAGCACAGGCTTGCCCATCCCCTTCCCTCCATCCCCCACCTTTTGTCTTCCCTTCTCCAGGCCAAACCATCCCAGGGACTTCAGCTGATGGTGC